TGTAGCATGTAGAATTAGAAACTAAAAACTTGTTGTAGAATTGTAAGAAACTAAAACCGGTGACGGAGGCTGGAGGCAGAGGCCGGACGCGGAGGTTAGAGGCGGAGGCTGGAGGCAGTCATTGAAGGCCGACGCGGAGATCCGAGACGGAGGCAGAGGCGTGGGTGCCTGGGCAGAGGTCGGAGGCCGGAGGCGTGAGGAGGCTGAAAGCGAGCGACGCGACGAGGCTAGGGTTAGGAGGAGAGGTGCGTGCGATTGAGATCTGCAAATATTGAGATTTGCAAATATTGACCTTGTGATTGTAATTTAATATAACATTAACAATTTACCATATATTAAATAAGGCGGGCTAGCCCGTGTATGCCCACTCCCCAGCGGGCCTAGAAAATCCTGGCCCAACCCGCCCCTTTTGCGGGGCGAGGCGCGCCGGCCCGCGGGCCAAATTGACAGCTCTATGTATGGGTTATATGAGTAGCGTCTTCTTTGGAAGCTCATGTGTTAAAAGCAGATATTCGGGCTTGAAGCTCTTCATTAATGGCGACATAAAATGCCATAAATTAGCTTTCACTCAAATCTACATGGTATTCAGAGCAGGTTGATTAATTCAACATCGCGAGAAACAGAGATGATTTAGGATATGAGATCGTGCGCAGTTATGCTAGAGACACGAGGCTATTCCATTGAAAGCGGTCAACAGCCTAACGTAAAGGCAGCTAGAATGATTGTCATTGGATTGTAGTTCCTACGGGGTGGAGATGATGGGGCTATCCATTGTCTTTTCAGATTTTCGATCACCCTAAAATGATCCTTTTCACAAATCAGCTCATTGGTGCTAAATCGAAGCTAGGATTCATAACTGGTACTGTGGAGATACCACGATTTCATGGTTATCTCTTGGTTGCTTACTCTATGTCAAAGAAAATTGTTGAAGCTTTCATATATGTGAAGAGTGCAACAATTTATGGGATGAATTGGCCGAGAGATATGATGAAAGTAATGGTCCTCATGTATCAATTGCAGAAAGAGATAGCCAACTTTGTTGAGGGATCACTTTCGTTGACTTCTTATTACACTAAATTGAAGTGCCTATGGGATGAGTGTTGGGGTATCACAACAAGCGCAACGGACAAAAATACCCCTCCAACGAATATGACGAATACTACTCCAAAATAAGCCAACACAAATAAAAGACGAGAAATAAAAAAGAACACAAAAATTGATAACGGAGTTCGGCGAAAATAGCCTACGTCTCCGGGCACCGCCAACCGCAACGCCAAATTTACTAAACTCACCAACAAAATACAAATAGGGTTAAATAACCCACAAATTAGGATTTCCTTAATTAAGGATTTCCTTCTAAATAGGAGAGAATAGAATAAGGTGAAATTGTAATCCAAAGGCAAGGGACCTATTTATACTAAAAATATCCTACACATCTTTGGTACACATCCGTTGTGGGACAAAACTTAATCAAAAACTAACAATTCTCCACCTTGACTAATTTTGCTCCCACTTCCAACTCAACTGC